AAAAAAAAAAAAAAAATAATAATTAAACAAAGCCAAACATGGTACATTGTCCAAAATACAATAATGGATAATCCCAAATGCCGAGAGCATAAACTAGAGAGAACTACATAGCATACATGTAGTTTAAACCATACACAAAAACTAAGCTAAAAGCAGTACGTGATCACTGAATCTTTTAGCTACCATAAATCAGTTCCAAACACAAATAAAAATTCAATAGTATACTACACCACAACTCATGCCTTCCCCATTGAACTGCTCCAGAGAGCAGGCCTAGATCAGGTTCTTTGATGTCCTCTGCTAGCAGCTCTTCTCAACTGCACATGCCATTTCCATTCACCCAGTGCACCTTTAATTGTCTCAAGCTCTGGTCTCCAAACTCTCTCAAATAGCCACAAGTTCCTTGATTTCCAAAGCCACCACAATATATAGGTTGTGAGCTCTATACTGACTTATGAAATCTCAGTTCTATCTGTTGGGTTCTGTTAGGAAGGTCAACAACATGCACGTTTAGATTTGAAAAAATAAACCCTAACGCAGCGGAAACTATAGTTAGGGTTAGAACATTACCGTTTAAAATTTTTGCCGACTCAGAGACGTTTATGATTTCTGTTGATGGAGATCGTCTGAACACCAGAATCCGATGAGCTGACGGATCTGGCTTTTTTTAGATTCTGATCGAGTTGTCGGAACACGAACAGAACACCAGAATTGGACTCTCGGACTAGGGTCGGTCAGTCTGGTTTAGCAGGTTGACTCAGTCGGACCTGGGTTGACTCGGTAAAACTCGGTTGGGCTCGTCTCGGTCGGGTCGCGGTGGTGCAGCAGATGGGCTCGGTCGCTGGCAGCGATTGGGTGCGCGTCGGGCTGAGACGCACGGACAGGCGGACGACGCGTGCAGGCGCAGGAGTCCTACTCCTGCTAGGACTAGGACGTGGGCGACGGGCACGGGCGATTGGGGTCACGCGACGACGGGTGCTGGGCGCGCGAGGACTGCGGGTGATCCAGGACGTCGTTGGGGCCTCGCGGTAAGCTTTCGGGCGTCGTTGGGTGCTATCGCCGGCGTCTGGCCGGCGTGCGGCTGCGTGCTAGCTGGCGCGGGCGACATCCGGCGAACCTGGGCGGTGGCGGTAGGTATCAGATCTCGTGTGATCAAAAGGCTCAAAGAAATTGTACTTAATGCCTTCTAATGGATTACCTAAACACCTACTTCGATTAATCTTGGTGGTGCGATTAATCGAATCTCCCGAACTCTCAAATATATGTAAATCTCGATTTTTCTGCCTTCGAGAAGACCTAAAAATCGTGCTATACGCGTGTAGAGGAAGAGGTTGGGACATGGTGTATTATAGGCTCAATTAGAGACCTTAAGGAGGTGCTAAATATGGGTGTATCCCATTAGGCTTAGGAATCATAATCATGCTCCATATCCTATCTCATCTAGAAATCCTTTTCCCCCAAGCCTTTATTACCTTCTAAAAGACTTCATAGTCTCCAAACCCTAGGTAATATTGTAGAAGAATATTCATCTCCTAATGGAATTTAAAATATGGAATATAATTAATTCTTAATTTCCTAATTAGAATTAAATAATAAAACATCCCACTAGAGTAATATTATTACTCTCCCATTTAGCTCCAATTTATTCAATAAATTTGAACCTCCAAATGATTAATAAATATTAATCTAGTTGATCGGTTTACCTCCCTATGTTTAAGATATAATGTCCATCAATTAATTTAATTACTGACAATTAAATTAAATTGACTTCTTTCATTTCCAAAATTAGTACCAATCAGTTCATTAATCATTATGTCGGATAATTACCCACCTGCAGGGTTTGACATAATATTTCTTCCTGAGCTCATTTCAGGGACGTCATCAACCAGCGCACTGGAACATAGTGACTGTAAATAATTTATAACATCACATTATATAAACACTCTCACTTACCAAAATATCGAGTATGTCATCCTAACAAAATAAGAATCTCCCTTGGTAAATCAAATAAATAAGTAATAAATATATATGCCTATTTTATATTATCTTACAGCTTAAGAGTACACATCAATTACTGAAGGTCTAGATTATAACCACGATTAGTAAATCTTATAATCTTATCCTTATGCGGTCCGTTCAATACTTATCATAAGTACTAGTGTAATCCATCAGTTAAAGGTCAACTAAATCAAGACTACACTGCAGTCTTTTTCAAACAACGGTCTCACTACATGTCTAAACTGTGAACAATTAATTTATATTTTACAACGAACCGATAATATGATCTTTTTGTTCGACACGGCGAACCATATTATCTACAATGTAAAATAATGGAGTCGTGATTGTATAAATAAATATACTACAAACATAAATACTTTGACTAAAACACGATTGCCAGATTAAAATGGTATTATTCATATCTGAAAGCCAAACTTTTACAGCATATCTAACACTATCTACACTACAAATCCATCCCCATCAGTCTGAAAAGCTACAAGTGTCAGTTTTCATTCCATCCCAGCTAACAGAAGCATGTTTTTCCACACTCTTTTAGCTCTGTCACATTTAAAGAACATGCTCAATGGTTCCTCTTCCAACCCACAACCTTGACATAAGACATCTATCACAATACCTCTCCTTCTAACATTCATATTAACTGGTAGAGTCCCTGAAAAGCATTTCCAGATAAAATGTTTCATTTTACCTTTAACTCTCACCCTCCAGCTTCTAAGTCTCACTTTCTTGTTCCTTTTTGCATTTGAGCTGCCTTCAACTATATCAAGTTCACTGAGCTTCTGCAAGCTTAAAAAATTGTAAGAGGATGCCACTGTGAACTGACTTGTACTGTGAAATTTTCATCTCCATTTTTCCTCAAGATTACAATTGATAGTTTGAATCTGCAGCACTGCTTCACAATCCCCAGCTTCCGTGAGCTCTGCCACTTTCTGCACATAACATTAGTTGATACCCACCTCAAGCCGATCCTTGACCCACAAATCTTGATCCCTGAATTTCTGTTTGAGTCTAGGCCCTCTGTTCTCTATCTCAGGCACCCAGTTATGATCCTGGATTCTCAGTGTTGTACCATTCCTCATCTCCACCTGCATGCCTTTATGTAGCATCCATTTAACTCTCCACCAAGACCTCCATAACCAAGATGAATTGTTTTTAAGTTCAACATCAAATAAAGAAGAGTTTGGAAAGTACATGCTCTTGATGATCCTACTTATAAGCAGTTGAGGTTTAGTGGTCACTCTCCACAATTGCTTGACAAGTAAAGTATCATTCAATAGCCTAACATCTTTGAAACCCAGACCTCCATTTTGTTTAGCTGTTGTTAGAGTGTTTCATTTTTTCCAGTGGATCCCTGTTGTGTAGTCAGAACCCTTGCTCCACCAGAATTGAACAAAAGTATTGGCCACCTCTTGACATATGCCTACAGGCAGTCAGAAAAAACTCATCACAAACATGGGTAGTGCATTCAGGACTGAATTAATCAAAACTTCCTTGTCTGTTGTGAATAAAAACTTGTTCTTACAGCTCAATATCCTTCTTTTGGCTGCCTCAATCACAAAACTGAAAGCTTCCTTCTTAAATTGCCCTATTCCCTATCTAGATGATCTTTGAGGCTGAATTCCTTGAAGAATCTGACATATTTCTCCATGAGTTCTCTCTGTGGTATTTTTAATGAAAAACACTGATGACTTAGTTGACCTTTTGACCTGAAAAGTCTTGATATTTGGCCAGCATAGATACCAAACCAACAGCCTAATAGGCATCAGCCTTGCAAAACACAATGGAATTATCAGCAAATAAGAGATGTGTTAACACTGGAGCACCCCTGGCCACAGACAAACCTCTGAATCTGTCTTTTTGCTCTTCAGCGGATATTAATGATGACAGGACCTCAGAAATCAGAATAAAAAGATAGAAAGACAAAGGATCTCCCTGTCTTAAACCCCTGGTCGCAGTGATGTTACCACTAACTCTACCATTCAACTTATTTCAATTTATATATAAAAATCTATACTTATATAATAAGGTATCCTATTTACCAAATTTAGTAGGTTGAAAAGTCAATGTAATTAATACATTGCTTTTTCTATCCAGAATTTTATTTATTTATTTTATTTATTTATCTTATATCCCATAAAATCAGTTTCAGAAAAAAAAAATCCCATAACATCTAATAAATAAATAAAAG